TTTCTTCTAATATCCGACTACTTTGGGTTTTAGAGTGCTTATGTTCCAGTTCCTTTAATGATTTATCTAGTTCTTTGAATGTTCTCTCCTTTTCTTTCTTAATTGCTGTACTCAATGATATGAATTTGCCTCTAATAACAGCTTTCCAGGTGTCCCAAAGAATATTAGGATCAACTAGCCCATTATCATTTAGTTCCAAAAAACTTTTTATCTCATCTTTTATGTTCCCCATCACTTTTTTATTATTTAGTAAACCAGTATTTAGTCTCCATATTGTCTTTTTAGGTCTAGTATCTAAGTGAAGTGTTAGATACATGGGTGCGTGGTCTGACAATCCCCTAGTACCAATTTCACAACTTTGTATCCTATGTCTATCATAAACCAACATGAAGAAAAAATCAATTCTTGAATGCACTGCATGAGGGGAGGAAAAAAAGGTATAATCCCTCTCAGATGGATGCATCTCTCGCCAAACATCAAACAAGCCCAAGTCGTTCAGACCTTTTCTTAATAATTTACTTTGTGGTGTGACCATTCTCTTAGTATTAGAGGTGTCATTTTTGTGCATGATTGTATTAAAATCACCCGCACATATCAGGACCCCTTGTGTTTCTGAAGAAATCAGATCTAATATTTTCTTGAGAAAATTTAAATCACAATCTGGGGGCAGGTAAACAGAGAGGAGAGTGACTAATCTACCTTCAATTTTACATTGTACCAGGACATATCTGCCTTCATTATCCTTTATTTGTTTAATGTATTCAAAATGAATTGAACTGTGTATCAACACTGTGACTCCTCTTTTATGTCCTAGTTTAGTCCTGGTTTAGTCCAGGTTTAGTCCTGGTTTAGTCCAGGTTTAGTCCTGGTTTAGTCCAGGTTTAGTCCTGGTTTAGTCCTGGTTTAGTCCAGGTTTAGTCCTGGTTTAGTCCTGGTTTAGTCCTGGTTTAGTCCAGGTTTAGTCCAGGTTTAGTCCTGGTTTAGTCCAGGTTTAGTCCTGGTTTAGTCCTGGTTTAGTCCAGGTTTAGTCCAGGTTCGTGGTAATAAATCAGAAAATGATCATTATTCTGTTGTTGAAACATGAGGATTTGTCAGAGAAAAACTGTTCTTCATTTTCAGATATTTTATTTGTAAAAATCTGGACTTTGTGGATTTTATCTTCATCCTGTGACTTTTAACTTTGCCCTGAAAATAAACGGAGAGAAAAAGAGACAAAGACGACAGAGAAAAACACAAAAAATCATGTTGTTTTCTGTTTTTATTTAAAGGTTTTGTTGGTGAAGTTGAACCTTTTTCTCAGTTTGTCTTTGTTTTTTAGTTTTCACGGTGAAGCTGAAGGTGAATGAAAATAAAACTAAACATGTTCATTTTGTCTTTTGTACTTTAACTTCACGTTTTTTTGTTGTTTTTTTTTAAACATTTAAAAGACATCAAGTGTTTGTTTGGGCTGCGAGCTAAATTAATTTGACTGTATCGTCTTTAAAAAAAAAAACCCAAGAAGCTAAAAGTGAAGGAGAATAAATATTGACACAAAAGCTCGTCAGAACAGAACAACCTCAAGTCCTTTTATTTGAGAAGAAAACCTGCAGAGCTTCGTCTTTTAGTCGAGGAGAAACACTCTGGAGTCATTGAGTCATTTTTAAGTTCGTGTGCAAATAAAAGCCTGACATTTACAGAACAGCTCCCGGACTGTGCAGATATAATACTCCCTACGACTCTAACCAAAACCTGAAGCTACAAAATAATTTAGTGAAATAAACCAAAACATACTCTTGGTGATATATCGATACGGCAGAACACGATATCGATACTGAATCATCACATTAAACGATAGTCCTGGTTTAGTCCTGGTTTAGTAATATTTTAGTCCTGGTTTAGATCTGGTTTAGTCCTGGTTTAGACCTGGTTTAGTCTTGGTTTAGTCCTGGTTTAGTTTTATTTTAGTCCTGGTTTAGACCTGGTTTAGTCCTATTTTAGTCCTGGTTTAGTCCTTGTCTAGGCCTGGTTTAGTCTTGGTTTAGTCCTGGTTTAGTTTTATTTTAGTCCTGGTTTAGTCCTGTTTTAGTCCTATTTTAGTCCTGGTTTAGTCCTATTTTATTCCTGGTTTAGTTCTATTTTAGTACTATTTTAGTCCTGGTTTAGTCCTTGTCTAGACCTGGTTTAGTCCTGGTTTAGTCCTGGTTTAGTCCTTGTCTAGACCTGGTTTAGTCCTGGGTCAGTCCTGGTTTAATCCTGGTTTAGTCCTATTTTAGTCCTGGTTTAATCCTATTTTAGTCCTGGTTTAGTCCAGGTTTAGTCCTATTTTATTCCTGGTTTAGTCCTATTTTAGTCCTTTTTTAGTCCAGGTTTAGTCCTGGTTTAATCCTATTTTAGATCTGGTTTAGACCTGGTTTTAGACCTGGTTTTAGACCTGGTTTAGACCTGGTTTAGACCTGGTTTTAGACCTGTTTTAGACTTGGTTTAGACCTGGTTAAAAATTGAAGTCGGCCTAATAAAACCACTGAAGCCAAGATAAAGACACTTACTGTCGTCTCTCCTCGTTTCTGACAAACAATTAACAGAAACAGTTAGTAAATGAGCAAACTATAATATAAAACACTCGTCATAAACACAGAATAAACTATATTTTGTGTTTTGTTTTGTGTTCTGAAGTGGAAATGAAAGTGACTGAACATCATACGTCATCTGCTTTTGTTTACCACAAGGAGGCGCCAAACATTCAGTTATGCTGCACAAACCACGATGGTCTTTAACCACAGTCTGCAGTCGAATAACCTACTTTATAAACAGACTGTATCTAGTGTCTGTAGGGTCATAAAAAGACACTTTTGTACATTTGTACGTGAACATTATTGACAGTGAACACATTTAGTATCGTCTAACACACCTACACATGTCAGACTCTGTTCTCACTACAGTGTGTAGTTTCTTTTATAAATCAAATACCAGTTTGTCAAAGTCTGATCCTGTCAGATCTCAGAGGCTCAGCAGGTCTGGTCCTGGTCTGGTCCTGGTCTGGTCCTGGTCTGGTCTGGTCCAGGTCTGGTCCTGGTCTGGTCCTGGTCTGGTCCAGGTCTGGTCCTGGTCCTGGTCTGGTCCAGGTCTGGTCCTGGTCCTGGTCTGGTCCAGGTCTGGTCCTGGTCTGGTCTAGTCCTGGTCCTGGTCCTGGTCCTGGTCCTGGTCCTGGTCTGGTCTGGTCTGGTCCTGGTCCTGGTCCTGGTCCTGGTCCTGGTCCTGGTCCTGGTCTGGTCTGGTCCTGGTCCTGGTCTGGTCCTGGTCTGGTCCAGGTCTGGTCCTGGTCCAGGTCTGGTCCTGGTCTGGTCCTGTCTGGTCTGGTCCTGGTCTGGTCCAGGTCTGGTCCTGGTCTGGTCCTGGTCTGGACTCAGATGGAGACACTGGGAAAACCAGGAGCCACAGGAGGCGCCAGAAGCAAAAACTGTTGTTGTGTCCTTAGGCAAGACACTTCACCCACACTGCTCAGTATGAAAGTGGTGTGTGTGTGAGTGATGGTGGGGGTCAGTAGTAGTTTTTAACACTGGGTCTGGAGTGAATGAATAATGATCTGTAAAGTGTCTTTGTGACAAATGTCTGTGAAAAGTACATATAAAAAAAACTTACTCACATACTGGGGTCACCCAGTCCTCCATGACGCTTAAAAAGCTCCCAAACAGCACAAACTGCTGTGAGTCGTTTGTGCTTCATTTGTGCTGTAAAGTTTCATTTGTGTTTGTGCTGTTATGATTCTTAAGATAAAATTCTTCCACGTCACATCATCCAGTCCCCAAAAATGTTAAAGAGAAACATTAACTGTATAAATATAATAATATAATATATATAAACTATATGAAGTGTTTTGATTTAATCTGTGCTGCTTTGCTTTTAACAATAACTTGTGGTATTTATATGGAGTCTGGTTACTGTGCATTTAAATGTGTTCCTTTTCTAAATGTATAACGCTTTAAAACAAGCACATACCTGGATAATTACACTGTATAATATTACCTGTATTTAGCCTGCATATATAAAAGAATATTGAAAAGGATTAACATTATAAAAGTCATCACAAACATCACTTTCTTTAATATGTCAATGTATGTGAATCTTGTTTTTGTAGGTTTAAATATATATATATATATATATATATATATATATAAATATCAAATATAATATCAAAGGTATACATTAGAAAGAAAATTCAGAAAAAAAGCACAGAGGAATATATATCTGTAAAATTCATAGAAATTACAACAGATAAACATGAGATACTGAGTATGAGCAGAATAATTCAATCAGATGGGCTTATGAAAAAAAAAAGTATAAACACACACACACAAATGTATTCGAGTGTCCCTTTAAAATGATCGTGTGAATGAGAACAGTAAATCTGGGGACCCTGTCCTCACTTTAAAATAACAAAAACTTCTAGATTTCCTCGAAGGCATAGATTGTAATATCAAGGTTACGCTGGAGCATGTGTTAGGAGAACCTAGGATTAACCTTAGACTGAATGTGTTTCCTCCAGTTTCTTCCAACATCAACCTGACAAATCCCAGCCAGACTAGAAATTAATTAGGCAGACATACTTAAAACACTGTTAACAAACCTCGGTATATTTGATAGTTTTAGATGATACGTAAAGTGAATGTTGTATGACACTCACAAATGGTCAATATTTACAATTCTTAAAACAATGTAGAGGAAAAAAAGAAAAATCTTAAAAGCACACATGGTTTAATGAATCACATTATAAAATGGAGCACGAGCTTTTCTCAGGTATCATCTTCTCCTTTATGTCATTCATTTCCTGTTGGTGTTTGATCCTTAGCTGCTCCACTTCTACTGCACTTTTTTTGTCTTCAGATTTCCTCATCACCTCCTCCATCTGTTGCTTCTGTTTCTCCTCCAAATCTTTGATTCGTTTATTCTGCTCGTCTTCGTGTTCTTTCAAAACCTTCTGTGTAAATTCATCCATTTCTTCTTGATGCCTTTGCTCTAGTTCTTTCATTCTTTCCTCCAGCTCTTGTTTCAGTCGGCTGCACAAGTCAAGCTTGAGCTGATTAAGTTGTTCATCATGTTCATCAGACAGCTGCTTCTTTCTTTTGAGAGATCCTCTTTCTTGGTCTCTTTCTTCAGATCTCTCATCTCTTGCCGCTGTTTTTTTCCCTTAACTTCTCAGTTTCTTCTTTTTGCTTCAGTTGAAACATTTTTCGTTTCTCCTCTTCACAATCCCTCCGTTCCTGTGCGTGACGCATCTGGATCTTCCTAACTTCATTGCTCTTTTCCTTCTCTTTACTCAAAACCACGATGGCCAAGTCAATCATCTGATTCTTGTGTTGCTTGTGCAGATTGTTTATTTCACTTTTCAGAGTTGTCTGTTCGTGTGACTTAAGCTTTTCTAAGCTTTTATAATCGTCTTGTCCTTGTTGAAGCTTTGCCTGGAGATCATTAATTTCCTGTAAGTGTTTGTCAATCTGAGCTGCAAAGTCGATCTCCCTGAGTTTAAAGTCGTTGAGCTCTTCTGCCTTCCTGCGAGCATCTTCCTCGTATGTCTCCTTCAGCTCCTCCATTTGTCTCTCATATCGCTCCTTTAGCTCCTTCTTCTGCTTCTCCTCTTCATCACGTCTGTTTTGATCTTCTTCTTCTTTCTTAATTCTGTAAGTTTCCAGTCTGTCCTTGTATTCTTGTTCTAGTTTCTCCAGTCTTGCCTGTTCCTCCTGTCGTCTTATTTCATCCTGCTTGTATCGATTGTCCCACCATTGTTTCCTCTCCTCCTCCCAGGCCTCTCGTTCTTGTTCCATTTTATCTTTACTCTCTTGCAGTTTTTTGTCAAAGTTCTCTTTCGATTCCATTGTAATTTCCCTCTCTAACTCTTGAAGCTTCTGTTCATACTCGTGTCTCCTAACTCTGTCCTGTTCTTCCCTCTGACGGTCTTCTTCCTCTCTCTGCTTCTGCTCTTCTGTTCTCAGAGTACGCTCCCTTTTTATATTACTCTCCATTTCTTTGAGTTCTTTGTCTCTCTCTTGACGTTCTCTCTCAATTTCTTTTGATTGTTCTTCCATTCTGAGTTTGATGTCTTGCATTTCCTTGTCATGTTTTTGCTTCATTTCTTGCATTTCTCTTCTGAGCTCTTCTTCCTTTTCCTTTAATAACCTCTGTGTCTCTTTCTGAATGGCTGCCTCAGCCTCCTGGAGCATCTCACTTGTGTAGCAGCCTCCACCGTTAACTCTCACCACATCATCAATCTTCTTTATCAGGTCTTTCACTTGGGCTGATTGTTTTTCTGCATTTTCTTCTGAATTATTAAATACATGGCACCTGTTCCCACAGTCAGATAACAGCTTCTTACAAGAATCGTCACATTTATTTTTAGTATAATCTTCTAATGTAGTTTTTTTCAGATCATCTCCACGTGTGAACAGAACTATGGTGAACTTTTCAGCATCTTTTCCAAATCCCGTCTTGATCAGATTCAGAGTTTCTTTCTCTTCAGGTGTGAATCTTCCGATTTGCAGCACCAACAGAAAGATGTGTGGTCCTGGTGCCAGGAGACTGATGCATTTGAGCATTTCCTCATTCACCTCATGATTAGACATGGTGCTGTCGAACAGACCGGGAGTGTCCACCACCTCCACACGACGACCGTCCACCTCCCCCCGTGCCTTCTGACACAGTTTGGTCACAGATGTTTGGCAACAGTCTGATTTGAACTCTTCTCGTCCCAGGATGGTGTTTCCAGAACTGCTCTTTCCACTGCCCGTCTTTCCAATCAGCACAATCCTCAGAGTCTCTGCACACTGTGTGTCCCCTGCAAATGTGAGAGGAAATCAATAAATCTAAAGATTAAACATTATTATTATTGATTTGACTTACAAATATACTGCAACATTTAAATAGATAACACTATAGAACTGTGTTTACTGTGGTTTCAGATCAAATTTTAATTAAAGTAATACATACCAGAGACTGTTCTTGTGTCTGTTGAAGAGGAGCTTCTCTGTAGAGCTGAGATCTTCTCTATTTGTGTCTGAACAAACATTTGTCTGGTGTAACTTTGGGGAACATTCCTGTCCTGTCCTGTGGTTGTTAAATTTTGTACTTCATTTAAGATTTGGCGAACTTGCTTCTGGTCTTTTATGTTGAAGATGAAATATCTTCCACCACAGCTTTGGCACAGCTCCTTCGGGTCTTTGTTCTTGCTCACAAAGTCAGTGTAAACTGGAGCTGAAGGATCTGACTCCACAGTGAACAGAACCAGGGTGAAGGCATCAACACGACGACCCAGAACCTCCTGAAGTATCTTAAACTCAGCCTTGTCTTCATCAGTGAGAGGATTCAAAGGTAACACCAGGACAAAGGCGTGGACACCATCAGGGTCACACAGACAAATACTGTTATAGAACTGCTCCATCGCTGCCTGAGCAGAACTACCACAGAGAGACGGCATCTCCACTATGGACAGACACAGTCCAGGCAGCTCCCTCTGACGTTTGATGCACTCAGATGAGCTCCTCTCTCCAGATGTTCTCTGTCCTAACATGACATCTGCTGCAGACGTTTTCCCTGCTCCTTTCCTCCCACAAAGAACCACATTTAATGTTGTTTTTATTTCTCTAGAGAAGCCCTCAGTAATAGTGACAAAAGATCTTCTGTTAGTTTGGACCATGGTCTGAATAACCTTCATCAAACTATGGAGGTTTTTGTCTTGTATTGAATAGTGTCTTAACTCACAATCCTTAAGAAGTGAGTTAGCAGCCTGAGTCATTTCCTCTGTGTGTGTTAAGACGAGAATGGAGTGTTTAAAAGAATCTGGACCCAACATTGTCAGGATGAACTTGAGTGTTTTTCTGTCGTCTTCAGTGAACTCAGAGGGCTTCACCAGCAGCAGGAGAACGTTTGGTCCTGGAAGACACTCAGACACACATTTCTTCAATTCGTTTCTCTGCTTTTCCACAGACACATTGAAGAGGTCTGCAGTTTTCACCACTGTGAGCTGATTTCCTCTCCAGTCCCCACGCTCCACTTTTGGGGTACTAATCCAAGATGCCTTGGATCCAGTAATAAACTGACTTAAAACTTTCTTTTTGTCATTATTTTTTCCAAACAGAAGGATACGAAATTCCAAATCTGTGGAAGAAAAAACAATGCCTGTTAGCAGTGATGATGGTGATGTGGTCGGTCGCTGTAGAAGATGACTAATTCATTTTCTCGTGTTTAGTTTCTTTCACATGATTATTGTTAACATTGTAGTGGAGTAAGGGAGTAAACACAACTTTAGCATTCTTAGAAATATTGAAAATACTTTTAATATTTGTGGGGGAAAATGTATGTGTGTCTTACTAGTTGGAACATGGATTGTTTCTGAGGCGTTGCTCTTTGTTGGAACCATGGCTGTCAGTCCTGAATAGAAAGAAGAAAAAACGGTAAATGTTGATATTAAACCAAAACATACAATTGTTTCTTGTTTCTACACGTACCATCTTTTTGAACCTGTGCCGTGATGCTGCCTGTTTCCTCCTGGTCCCCGGTGTGAGAAGGAGCAGTTGCAAATACTTCATAGGTCAAATTATAGCCCTGATTGTCTTTGACAATCTGACCCAGTCGTGAAAACAACTCTGCAAGTTTAAAGTCCTTAACTTCTCCTTCTTCTTCAGTAAAGTTCTTCATCCACATAAATCTGTATCTGCATTTCCTGATCATTTGTCCTAATGGTGAGTTCTTTGTGTACGTGACACTTTCTTCTCTGTCTGTGGAGATCAGCACCATTGAATGATCAAACGAGTTTTCATTGAACATCTCTAACACTTTCTGGAGCCTCTGCTGCTGCTGTGAGGTGAAGTCTTCAGGCTGAAGGACCAGCAGGAGCACATGGAGCCCAGGCTGTGAGGCACCTGCAAACTCTTCTATCTTGTCTTTCAGCTCCTCTTCAGTGAAGTCACAGTGGAGAAGGTCTGGTGTGTTGATGACTGTTAGTTTTTTGTCCCCAACTGGAGCACTGACTTTTGTTGAGGATTGTGACTCTGTCCTAAACATGTTCTTTCTGACTAAGAGATTCTCCACCGAGCATCTCTGTGTCCAGCAGTTCCCCAGAAGAGCCACCCTCAGCTCAGACACTGAAATGAAATAAATATAGTTAAATATAAAGTTATAACAGTTAAAATGGGGCTTAAATAGAATGTAAACCAATTATTAACACTTGTGCCTTGTCATTTAAAGATCTCTAGCTGCTTTTCTTTTTGGGATAACGAGCTGTGGTTGTTCCATATTTTTCCAGTCCAAATCATTGGTATGTATGTTCTGTAGACGGACATTCTGCTAATTATTTATGTCATTTAAAAAAGTAAAATGCAAAATTTTTAAAAAGTACGTGTCCATGTCTCTGCTATTATGTAATCCTCACTGAAAGTTGTGTAAATTTCTCCTGGTTAAGGTCTGTGCTTGAGCCTCGGGCAGGTAGGACTCAGCAGTCAGAGCTGAAGATGAGGAGGTGAAGATGTCTGGGCATGAGCTTGTGCTGGACTGTGGAAGCTCCCTGGTGAGTGCCCATTCGCTCAATTCACCCAAAGTGTAGAAAACACGTCGCTCCGCCTGTGTGAACCACACCACAACTCTTGTCTCTACATAAGGTTAACGTCATTCAGTCTGGATGTACCTTTACAGGTTATAGACACAAGTGACTCTTGTAGAGACTGAGAGGAAACTGTAGATTTTATTAATACATTTATTATCGTTGTAGATTAAATTGTAGTAGTCCGAGAGTTTTAAGAAGCTCGTCACTGGAGTTGTATCACAGAAGTTTATTTAAACCCCCTACTGCCCAGTCTAGTCTAGTCCAGTGATTATTTTTTAAACGATGCACCTCGTGGTGTTCTAGACTCCCTAGACATTGATACAATACTGATATTGAATGTTGGCAGTGCCAATACAGAAAAATGAGCTGGATCGGGTATCGTTTCATGGTATCGGTTGAGCTGATATCCTGGTTGGGCCTGGAAGCAATAAGACAGGCTGATTTTGGCCTTTATAATTATAATGTTTGAACTTTTATTCATATGTCGCTGTTCTGTGGTGATCTGAAGGATAAATAACAGTTACATAATGCAGTTGGAGCACTTGTGTAATAAGTAAACTGTATTTTTAGAAAAAAGTGCTGTTGTCCGTCTCTACACTGGTATCGGTTAATATCGAGTGTGGGCAGATACTTAAAGTCATTGATATCGTAACAGAAAAAGCTGGATCGGTGCATCCAGGTTAAAACAGTCCAACGAACTGCTCCTCCCTGTTTAATCTTTACATATATGTAGGTCATAGTGTGTATAACCTTGGTACAGCACAGCAGAACTATCCTCTAATACATGTGTTATAATAAAATAAGTAATTATCTTATTAATATGATATGTGAGGGTTTTAGGAGTTGGTTGTTTTTATCATTTGATAGGGTTTTGTTTATTTGTTTGTATTTGGGTGGTGTGGTGATTGTGGTGGTGAGGCCTAGTAAGAAAAGTGATGGGAGGAGTAAACTGCAGCTCAGGATGTCTGAGTTTTTATTATAATGTTCCAGAAGTTTTTCACAGGTGTAAGTCCCAGAGTTCATGAAGGTAAAGGTACATGTCAGAGACTCTCACAGTGCAAAAGGTTTGTTATTTTACTGTGTGCACTATGTGGATGATTACTGAATAAGTTGGAGATTGATCTTGGATGTTTGCAGAAGAGGTTTTTACATATCTCTGTCCACAGTTCATGTGTGATGTCGAGGTCTGTGTTTGTCATTTGGTGTTTTTATTGTATTGTCAGGACTGACACATTGCTATTTAAAAACTTTATATTTTCAAATATTATAGGAAAGTTCAAGAAAGATGTGGTCCTTAGTAATGTAACAATGGGCAAAGTACAAACCTGCACCACACTGACTGATTATGTTAAAAGTCCTTTATTACAAAAGAGGAGATGCCAGTGCCCATTTTTAAGTTACTAGGGACACATTTTGCTGTGTCCTTGAACCCTCGAAGAGCACCTCTACTAGTTATTTATGACCCAGTGAAGCACTCTTCTCTTCTTAATCTGATATTGTAGAAGTTATTTGTCATGCTTGTTTCTTACAGCACTGGGGGAGGACGTGTCTCTTGACAGACTTGACAAGCAGCTTGGTCTGGTGACTGCCACACCTGTTTGCAGATGTAGATGTTGGCGCTTTGCATAGAATATCACTAAGTGTAGCTTTAACTGTCCTGAGTTTAGTGCCCCTCCCTTCTGTGTACTGTTTCCTCTCACAGTTGTTCCCGTGTATCCATGTCTGTTGTATGTGTGCAGTTAGCACTTAAAGCACTTTCATCAGTCACCATACTTACACCTCATCTATACGATATTCTAACACTCACAAGTTCAAGTACAAATGCCGGTGCCTACCTTGGATGGTATCCACATTTGGCTCAATTATTTGAACTCTGTTTTACCTTTATTTTAGACTGACCTGTTTTCTGGTCCAACTAATTACCTCTCCTTTGTAGACCTCCTGTATTACATGACTGCGAGCAGCATATGCACAAAGTGTGAGACAATCACACTAATGAATTTGGTTCATGATATTATACAAGGACTAGTGGAGGTCAGCTTGAGCTGCTCCTCATATAGTTCTGATAAACCACTGACACTAGTCAGAACAGAGCCGAGGTGGGTAAAGTATCTAAAGACTGAACTTAGAAGAATAACGTTACTTCAAAATAATATTACTCAAGTAGAAGTACAAAGCAGTGGTTCAATTAAAAATCCCTTAAGTAACAGTAAAAAGGTTAAAAGATATTTGAGGCACCTTGTGTTAGCTCTGGATTTATTCTAATAATGTCAACAAGTCTTCTTCAGTGCAATTTTTAAAAGTATTTAGAAAGACGACAACTTAAAGATTAACTGTAGGTAACATCTGATTTATAATTTCATGTTACTGAAATTTCAAGGACAAACATTAAATAATATACAAAATGTGGTATTTTCAATGAACAACACAACAACACAAAAATGTGACAAAGTAAATCATACTGTACTTTAAGTAGATTAAATGTAACTGAGTACTGCCAACCTCTGGTACAGAGTCTAGGTGAATGTGATGAATGTTACAAGATCAGATGCAGAGGAAGTGTAGACCTAAATGTTTAGTTCAACTCACTGTCTGGTGGAATAAAGTCCATGCTCCGGCTGCGAGTCAAAGGTGAGACACCTGCAAATGAGAGAAAAGATTCAGTCTTACATTTCCAAAGAGCTGTGAGGAATGTGATTGACAGCAGCCAGTGACTGATCAAACTGTGTTTCTCAGTTTCCATGTTTGATTTGTTCTGGATGGTCTAATACAGGAGGCTTCTTACTATTATTTTTTGAAATAATTATAATAGGCTTTACTGTCAAAAGTTAATATGTGAAGAAATAAAAGACTACAAAAATATATATTTTTAAATTTTATTAATGTTTTCATGCCACTGTAGATTAAGTCGAGCAGCTTTGCTTGTTGTGAGGGACACACAGACGACTTGTATCATTCAGAACAGTAATGAATTAACATCTGTATTCACCATATATATATATATATATATATATATATATATATATATATATATATATATATATATATATACATATCTGATCACTGGCAGGGCGTAGCGTCTCAGACAGTGGGGTCCAGAGGAAGAGGTGCTGGAGGGACCATCATGGCAGGACAAACCCCTACATGGGGCGAACCACCGGAACATAACTGAAGTGGCTGATATCAAGAAATCCTACCAATGGCTCGAGAGGGCTGGTCTGAAGGACACACAGAGGCACTGATCCTGGCTGCTCAGGAGCAGGCCCTGGGCACTCGAGCAATAGAGGCCCAGATCTACCACACCAGACAAGACCCACGGTGTAGACTGTGCAAAGAGGCTCCTGAGACAGTCCAGCACATAACTGCAGGGTGTAAGATGCTGGCAGGGAAACAAACATGGAGCGACATAACCAAGTGGCGGGCATAGTGTACAGAAACATCTGTGCAGAGTACAGGCTGGAGACCCCAGGATCAAGGTGGGAAACACCTCCAAAGTTTGTGGAGAATGACCGAGCCAAGATCCTGTGGGACTTCCAGATACAGACTGACAGAATGGTGATGGCGAAACAACCAGACATAGTGGTGGTGGATAAGAAACAGAGCAGAGCCGTGGTGGTTGACATCGCAATACCAAGCGATGGTAATATCAGGAAAAAGGAACACGAGAAGCTAGAGAAATACCAGGGGCTCAAGGAAGAGCTGGAGAGAGCCTGGAAAGTAAAGGCATCAGTGGTGCCTGTGGTGATCGGACACTCGGGGCTGTAACCCCCAAACTGGAAGAGTGGCTACAACAGATACCGGGAAAAACAACGGAACATCTCAGTCCAGAAAAGTGCAGCACTGGGAACAGCAAAGATACTGCGCAGAACTCTCAAGCTCCCAGGCCTCTGGTAGACGACCCGAGCTGAATGAGGGTGAGAGACCAACCACCGTGGAAGGTGAGAAACACATTTATATTTATATATATATATATATATATATATATATATATATATATATATATATATATATATATATATATATACACACACACACACACACCACTTTCATCATTAAGCCAAATTAGAAATGTACTTAATTTTTTGTTCTTTTATTTCTTCTGTCATTAGACATAGTAAAAAATAAATAAATATTTTTTACAAAAATCATGTGAAATCATAAAACCTTAGTAAATCAAAATGAACTAAAATGATTTTGATCCTTCTCCCTAAATTATTGTGTGGAAATATGCTGGACTCATTATAAATCAAACATACATCCAATTGTCATTTCATGCTCACTACTGTTTATTTTGTACAAACAATAAACTTTGTGCCTACGATAACATTATTATTAGTTTGTACGACCATAAATGAAAATATGTTTCCGTATGTATGTATATGTGTGTTATACATGTGTGTATAAACATTTATATTGAGTATATGTACTGGATATTTATGATGCTTATATGTATGTATGTATGTATGTGTGTACATGTGTGTACATGTGTGTATATGTATATGTATGTGTGTATGTATGTATGTATGTATGTACGTGTGTACATGTGTGTACATGTGTGTACATGTGTGTACATGTGTGTATATGTATATGTATGTATGTATATGTGGATATGTTTTTGTACATATGTACATATGTGTGTATATTTATGCAATGCATGACAGGTAAACACTCCAAAGGTGTTAAAGGTGTCGGAAAAAAAAAAGAAAAAAAGTGTGAACCATGTGATTATGTAAAACAGTTGGGGTTGGACTCTATATGTTTTTAAACTTCATCCTGCTCCTTTTGAGCACCAGGTCCCAAATATGTTCATGTAACATATCAATATTTGTTATTGTTTTTGAATTTTTGTTGTACCTGACTCAAACAAACAAATAAATGAATGAATGAATGAATGGTCATAGCCTAATCAATGTGGATTTAGCCTCGTTTAAATCATAAAATACGTTTGCTGATTCGCTGCCGCCTTTCATGAAAACTCACCTTGTGACGTCATAGTTTCTCATCAAAGACCTAATAAGAGAAAAAACAAAGAATTAAACGTGAGTTTTATGTGAACAATGTTAAAAAACAACAACAACAAAAGCAACACAAATTTAGTCTAACTTCTAGTCTTGTCTAACTTATTAACGGCTCTTTGAAGATCGTGTTTGCACATCGTTGCGAACGGTGAAAGTGCAGACTTCCTTTATTAGCCTACGACTTTGAAAACTACATTTAGCTCATACATAGCCTGTATTTCTTTGTTTTTTGTACAAACAATTTGTTGGTAACATTCAAGTGAAAAATATTTGGCTGTGCTAATTTTAAAACTGAAGTAAGCCTAGTTCATCGCTGAATCCTATAGAAAAAATACACTTACACACGTCCCTCCTCGTTTCCTTTCCGACAAAAAAAAAAAAAAACTATAGTCATAAACATAAAATAAACAACATTTTGAGACATTAAGCTACGTTATTTACATTATCTTACCTTAGCCAGAAATCGAGTTTTCACCACAGACCGAAGCGTCCAGCGTTTACCTCATAATGCAATGAAAATGAAAGTGACTTATCCACCCTACGTCTTTTACTTTTGTTTACCACAAGGGGGCGCCATTTATCCGTCCTCCTCCGCACACTGGTACCGGAGCCTTCATGGCGCTTTTATTGTCAATTAAACTTTTGGATTTGAGCAATAATTTAAATAAGATTGAAATACAACAAATGTGGGTTTCTGACTAACAAATTTACAACAATATTCATCCATCCGCCCACTTTCCGTATGAATCTTTGACAGAACTAATATTAGGTTCAATCGTAGACTGTAAAAATGTAAATGGACACTCCTGCTCACCAGATAATACTCCCTACAACTGTACAACAACTCACTCTTAGGTAACAGATAATACTCCCTACAACTGTACAACAACTCACTCTTATGTAACAGATAATACTCCCTACAACTGTACAACAACTCACCCTTATGTGACAGATAATACTCCCTACAACTGTACAACAACTCACCTTTATGTAACAGATAATACTCCCTACAACTGTACAACAACTCACCCTTATGTGACAGATAATACTCCCTACAACTGTACAACAACTCACCCTTATGTAACAGATAATACTCCCTACAACTGTACAACAACTCACCCTTATGTAACAGATAATACTCCCTACAACTGTACAACAACTCACCTTTATGTAACAGATAATACTCCCTACAACTGTACAACAACTCACCCTTATGTAACAGATAATACTCCCTACAACTGTACAACAACTCACCTTATGTGACAGATAATACTCCCTACAACTGTACAACAACTCACCTTTATGTAACAGATAATACTCCCTACAACTGTACAACAACTCACCTTTATGTAACAGATAATACTCCCTACAACTGTACAACACTTTAAGTTGACTCAAAATCGTGTGTATTTTTACAACCCTCTAAACATTAAACTTCTTCTGTGTCGTACAGATCGTGTTTATGTTGCGTCCGTTGATCCAAGATCTGGGGCCTCATTTATAAATCTCGTTTACACATAAATCCTTGCGTAGTCGCTCTCTACGCCAACCGCGGTATTTATGAACCTCGACTAAATCGTGGAGCTTTGTTAAACTCTACACCAACTCTGGACTCCTGTAAACTCTACACAAACTCTAAACAAAACTCTACACAAAGTCTGGAGACACTCGTGGAGAGAAGCAGAAGTGAACAGAGTTTGAGGAAGAGTTTGATCAGAAAATCCACGTATATAAAAGAATGACCTTCAGATTTGTGCATTTTAAGTGTTTGGTTCACAAAACAGGGAGCAGGTCTGTTTATTCCACTCATTATTCTCCACAATATTAAACATTTAAACTCGTGCACGAGCGCGGACACGTTCCCAGTGCAGCTCAGAGTCTCCCACAGTCCACACCGAGACCACAGACTCCTACAGAACACAGACTGTGACCAACACAGAGGACGAAATAATGACCCGACCTGAGACTAAACTCTTCCCTCGGACACAGGAGCTTTTTTGGTTTAATGAAACACTGGGACTAAACACAACTTTAACACTTTTACTCTAGTTTTTATGCTTCCAGCGCCAGAGTGACCCGAGTCTGTGACCCGAGTCTGTGACCCGAGTCTGTGACCCGAGTCTGTGACCCGAGTCTGTGACCCGAGTCTGCGCACGACATGAACCCTACTGTCCAAACCTGACCCCAACCTTAAATATTCTCTACATGTTTGTGTAATGTGGAGCTCCTGCACATGAGAGCTGCTCTCTGACTGTATGAAGAACAGAATAATGTCTGTGTCCATCCCGACCCAGACCCACACTCACAGACCCACAGACCCACACTCACAGACCCACACTCACAGACCCAGACCCACACTCACAGACCCACACTCACAGACCCACACTCACAGACCCACACTCACAGACCCACACTCACAGACTCACAGACCCAGACCCACACACTCACAGACCCAGACCCACAGACCCACTCACAGACCCACACTCACAGACCCAGACCCACACAGACCCACACTCACAGACCCACACTCACAGACCCACACTCACAGACCCAGACCCACACTCACAGACCCACACTCACAGGTTCAGCAGTTTGGATGTTTGATGTGGACTTTTATTGTCAGAATAACAGCTCCTGATCTGTATCTGATGTATGTGTGTGTGTGTGTTTTTTTTTTATTAATTAATTATTTTTTTTATTGAAAGAAAAAGTGGTGTATACGTACAGCAGTGTACAAAGAACTGTGATTACCATTCAAACATTGTATCATATAACGTGCAAATAAAATAAATAAAAAGTTAAGTAATAAAAAAGAAAGGAGGGGGAAATAAAAGAGGACAGGAAAGGGGGAAATGCTATACTTTCACACTAGGGGGGGTCAGAGTTGAAGTGAAAACATTCAGAGCTGTACAGATTTCTACAGTCTCGAGTGCCTTCTGTTTCTTAGAAAATTGAATTGAAAGAATGTATTGTTTGAAACTATTGTAGAAAGCAACAAAGGTTGGCCTCTTACCAGAAAATTTACATGAGTGGATATGATACTTTGACATTAATAATAATAGATTAATTAGGTAGATCGAATTTTTTTGTAACTGAGAATCAAACAAGCCAAACAATACATTCTTCCAATGCAAAATAAAGTGTTTATCAATGTCAGTAACAAAGATGTGCTGCCTAAATATGATGAAATATGATTAAATGAACAGATGAGTCGTTCTTGTCACTTTTAGTTTTGTGTTTATTAAACTTGTTTAAGTGTTTGTGGTGATCACGTGGTGCTGCGTGGAGCCTCCTCCTCCCTCTGTCCCGCGTGTCTCAAACCCACTGATTATCAACTCATGTTTAGGGAAATCTCATTCACCAGACACTTTACCTGCTCCTTTTATGGTGAGGTGGAGGTGTGGAGAGGGCGTGGTCTGTCCTTTTATGGTGAGGTGGAGGTGTGGAGGGGGCGGGATTTATAAAGCAAAGATTGCAGGTTTGGTGCGTGCGGTGGGTTTTGTAAATATGGAGTTTGCGTGGCGCACGACTGTCGTAGCTACAGACGTACGCACGAACTTACGACAACTCCTGCGCAGTTTTTTATAAATGAGGCCCCAGGTCTTAACCAAGACTAAAACCAGGTCTAAACTGGATCCAAACCAGGTCTAAACCAGGTCTAAATCCTGCTGTGTGGACGTGTTTCTTCGTCTTTTATCAATAATATTTTTAATTTGGTTAAATAAAGTCTGAACTGTTTATTTTCTTTTATCAGACAAAACTTCTTATGTGAAGATTTCCTCGTCTTTGCTTCTCTACAGCAAATCAAGTAATCCAAAGTATTCAGATTACATTACTCACTTTAAGTAATTTAATGGATTATGTTACAAACTACATGTTGGTGTGTGTAATCTGTAATCTGTAGGGGATTACATTTTAAAAGTAACACTCCCAACACTGTCTGTAATGTGCTGACGAAATTTATAAATAAAATAGTAAAAAAAATAAATAAATACATAAAAAAAAAAAAAAAAAAAAAAACCCAGAACGTCAGACACTTATCTTGTTTTTTTGGTCCTTGACAGCTCCATTACGGGTCCGCGTGAGGGACAAACCACAGACTGTGCAAAAGACTCGCTCATATTTACGGTCTGTGGGACAAACTGGTGGATTTTATCGGATTCTAATCTTCCTCTTCGTCAGCGGTGAGTTGTTGAGCAGTGATCGGTGCAGTATTTTTGTGATTATCGCTCGTGTTTCTGTTTCTAGAAGAACTTAGCGTGTTGTTTGTTCGCGCTGCTCCGCTCCCATTCAAAACCCCTTTAACACTCTGTGGATGTTAGCGCCGTTTACTCGCGCTTGGACTTTTTAAAATAAAGATTATAATAATTAAATATTTCACGTTTACATTCAAGCCGAATTGTAGATAATAATCTGTTTTACTAGAAGGATTCGTTCGTTTACTCATTATTCTCCCCTTTAGAATTAATTTAGTCCGTTTTGATTCACTCCAACTTTTTGAGCGAACGCGAAATAAGCTATCGGCTTCTATTTTGGTTTTCCTCACTGAATATAAATGAAGTGACGTAGATACCAATATTTTTGATTTATTGCCCAGCTTGAGATCATTTGCTTGAGAATTTTGATCTCGACTCATGTAATTTGATTTATTGACAACAATTGAGTATTTTTGATATGTGAGAAATTGCACTTCCCTTTTGGATTAAGTTGTTGTTGTTGGGTGAACAGTGTTGGGGAGTAACAGATTACATGTACCAGAATTAAGTAATCAGAGTACAAATTATGAGTAACTGTATTCAGTTACAGTTACTGTTTCAGTGAGTGGTAATTGGATTACAGTTACTTTGTTGAAATAAGTGGATTACACAGAGGGATTTTCCTGTTTTCACATTTTGGGCTAAACTCGGACTAAACTAGGACTAAAACCAGAACTAAAACCAGAACTAAAACCAGAACTAAAACCAGCACTAAAACCAGCACTAAACCAGGACTAAACCAGTTCTAAACCAGGGGCCTCATTTATAAAAACTGCGCAGGAGTTGTCGTAAGTTAGTGCGTACGCCTACACTGTAAACCCAAATTAGTAATCATTACTAAAACCGCGCGTGGTGAGTGATTGCACTGGGATGTCTAGTTTTTACAATATCAAAAACTAAACAAATCAAGCTCTGTTTACATAAAGTCTTCTGTCCAAGATAACCCATTACTAAAGAACTTAAGTTTCTAAAACTAATGTTTACAAGTAATTAACTAACCATTACTTGTGTATTACAGTAATCATTACTTATTTTTATCAGTATGTATTTCTCATATTTATGAGTATTTATTGAATATGTTTATTAATTATCATAATTAGATGCAAATTATAAATATTTTTTTAATAACTGACATAAAATGACAATTTTTTTCTCACAAATTTATTGCAAAAATAGTGCAATAATAACATGCTTAAACCTGAATAAAGTGCAGTCTTCTGTTTGTTCCCTGTAACAGCATTTGCTTTGGGTGAAGATCTGGTGTTGGAGGAGAGACACCTTCAGATTTACTAACAAGATCCCAAAGTCCATTTGGCGAAAGGATTCATCACCATCCTAAAGAAAAACAAAAACATTAATGCCAGAAACATAACCATTAGTGAATGAAATTACTGAACTACAACAGACTCAATAAGAATGACAAAACATAAATTGTATGAAATTCAATTTATACTGACATGATAACTATTTGGTCAAGCATTTTCAAATGTTCAAACAAATATTTGAAAATCAATAATAATCTGACTTTAAGATAAATAATATTCATGGAATGGCTGGAGCTCGTAATGTATAGACTACTATATTCAAATTATACAATAAATGTCACATTCTAAAAGTTTCACATTACAAACAAAATGTACACTTACAAAGCTAGATTTGAAGAATTCAGTGGGATTGTCTCCGAGTGAGTCAGGAAGCCCTCTGAGTGTGACTGTCCTTTTTTCAGTAGAATCCAGTGACTGTAAGACAGAAAATGGATACTGTATAAGTTAAAAGAAATATACAGAGACGCAAACACTTTTGTAAATATACATTTAACCATTAACATGAACTATGTATTTGAATAAAAATTAATTATCTTTTTATCCATTTTAGATTAACTGTTATGAACTTATGCTTTTACTGCACATGTATTTTTATCCGGGTTACAAAAGTTTTACCTGTATTTGCTGCAAAAGCTGTGCCAACTGTCACCCACGTTGCCCCTCTTAGCTTTAAAACTTTCAGTAAAATGGGTAGTGTGGTTATCAAGGGCAGAATAAAATTCCTGGTGCAGGTCTTTTCCCACAATCCTTTTGAATTCCAGACAAAAAAAAAAGAAATGAGTGTTCTGTAGTGTCTGAGGTAGTAACCTCTCTTATCACAGCTGAACTCACAGTATTTACAGCTCCCCAGCATGTTGTTGAGTAGTCACCTGTAAAACACAAAATATGTGTTTAATTTAGTGTTTAATTCCAACCAAAGCTTATATGCAATTTTGTGGTGATGATCTAAAAATTTTAACTCCAAACTCTCCATTTGCACCCACGATTTTAGATTTTAGAACAATCATATAGCAAACAACGAAAACGAGTCTCGATTAAAAAAAAAACAAAAAAAAAACACCAACTCTATACATTCATTCTAAAATTGGATTCGCGCGGCCTACAGGAGGAGACGCTCTTCTGTTTTAGTCCTGGTTTTAGACCTGGTTTAGTCCTGGTTTTAGACCTGGTTTTAGACCTGGTTTAGTTCTGAGGCGCGGTGCACACGGTGGACGTGAGGACTTCTATGGGTCCATGCGTCGTTAAACCGCCACCCGCCCGAGTTTGATTAAAACAGTATTTTTCGTCGCGTGATCCGCTCGAGCCGCGGTTTAGTCGCGGAGTTCGTCCTCCGTTCATCTCTACCGGCTCACACACCGTTAACTGTTAGCATTAGCTGTTCTCTGTTAGCGGCTAACAGATGATAACGAGCACAACGTGACCACAAGTTCACTTCACGTTTAGTCTTATTTGGCTGCAAGCGTCAACCAATGTCACCAACTATTCAGTCTCACGGGAACAGAAACCATATTTATTCACTTACCACATGATGATAAAACAGACTGACGCTGAATTGCAGCCAACAGTCCGAGCAGAAGTCAAATGTGGTTTGGTGCAGTTTGGGATTGTTCAGGTGCCAAGTTTCTCCCTTCACCGGTAAAAACATACAAGTGTGAGTCTCCACTCAGAGCCATTAGTACAGCAAATACTAGTTTAACATAGTTTACAATTCACACTTTGTTTAGTAATGGTCCCGCCTTTTGCAAAATATTAAAAAGATTAGTAATATTAGCATGGCTTAATATGTAAAAGAAAAGTGTAGTAGCTACGACAGTCGTGCGCCACGCAAACTCCATATTTAGAAAACCCACCGCACGCACCAAACCACGCAGTCTTTGCTTTATAAATCCACCTGCAACTACAATTTGCGCACGTAAACCTACGTCACGTCACGTCCTCTCCCTCCACACCTCCACCTCACCATAAAAGGACAGACCACGCCCCCTCACACCTCCACCTCACCATAAAAGGAGCAGGTAAAGTGACTCGTGAATGAGATTTCCCTAAACATGAGCCGATAATCAGTGGGTTTGACCGAGACACGCGGGACAGAGGGAGGAGGAGGCTCCACGCAGCACCACGTGATCACGATAAAACACTTTATTAAACCTTGTTTAATAAATAAATACAAAACTAAAAGTGACAACAATGACTCATCTGTTCATTTAATAATTTTTTATAATATTTAGGCAGCACATCTTTGCAGTAAAACACATGTGTTTTTTCGCTGTTTCAAGAGTTTTATCGCTATATTTTTAAGTCTGTCTATGAAGTGTGTGAGGACTGGCCCTGTGTTTATGCATATACACGTAGATACGTGCACGCGCAAATTATGAGCACGTGCGAGAGATTCAGATGCCCTCCCCTGGAGAGGGAAAGGAGCGAGGGAGGGACACGAGGACACAGATTTAACACGAAACACATCAGATACAGATGTTATTCTGCCAATTAAAGTCCACACGAAACATCCAAACTGCTGAACCTGTGAGTGTGGGTCTGGGTCTGTGGTGTGTGTGGTCTGTGAGTGTGTGAGTGTGGGTCTGTGAGTGTGCTGTGGTCTGTGTGTGTGGTCTGTGAGTGTGTGGAGTCTGTGAGTGTGGGTCTGTGAGTGTGGGTCTGTGAGTGTGGGTCTGGGTGTGAGTGTGGGTCTGGAGTCTGTGAGTGTGGGTCTGTGAGTCTGGGTCTGTGAGTGTGGGTCTGTGAGTGTGGGTCTGTGAGTCTGTGAGTGGGTGGGTCTGTGAGTGTGGGTCTGTGAGTCTGTGGGTCTGTGAGTGTGGGTCTGTGAGTGTGGGTGTGGGTCTGTGGTCTGTGAGTGTGGGTCTCTGTGAGTGTGGGTCTGTGAGTGTGGGTCCTGTGAGTGTGGGTCTGTGACTGTGAGTCAAGTGTGGGTCTGTGAGTGTGGGTCTGTGAGAGTGTGTAGGGGAAGATTTTGGTTGGGGTCTGGTTCGGGCAGTGGGCTTCGTGTCGTGCGCAGACTCAGGTCACTCTGGCGCTCGGTGCGTAAAGACTAAAGTAAAAGTGTTAAAGTTGCGTTCATTAAATCAAAGCCTGGCTGAGTTTACTCTCAGGTCGGGTCATTATGTCGTCCTCTGTGTTGGTCAGTCTGTGTTCTATATGAGTCTATGGTCGCGGTGTGGACTGTGGGACTCTGCGCTGCACCGAGTCCGGGAACGTGGCCGCGCTCGTGCACGAGTGTCAAATGTTTAATATTGTGGAGAATAATGAGTGGAATAAACAGCCCTTCTCCGTATTTTGTTGAACCAAACACTTAAATGCACAAATCTGAAGGTAATTCTTCTATATACGTGGATTTTCTGATCAAACACTTCCTCAAACTCTGTTCACTTCTGCTTCTCTCCACGAGTGTCACTTTTTCCCCGTGTCTCCAGACTTTGCGTAGAACTTACAGGAGGTTCCCGAGTTGGTGTAGAGTTAAGCAAAGAGCCACGCCTTAGGCGAGTTTTATAAATACCGCGGTTGGTGTAGGAAGCGCACGCACGGATCTTTGCGTAAGCAAGTTTTATAAATGAGACCCCTGGTCTAAACTAGGACTAAACTAGGACTAAACCAGGTCTAAACCAGGTCTAAACTAGGACTAAACCAGGTCTAAACCAGGTCTAAACCAGGTCTAAAATAGGACTAAACCAGGTCTAAAACCAGGACTAAACCAGGACTAAACCAGGACTAAATCAGGTCTAAACAATATGACACTAACAGTAGTTGGACATAATTTAAAGCAGCAGTGTCTCATATAAAAATCATTTCTCTATCAATAATATTTTTAATATGTTTAAGTAAAGTCTTGTTTTTTTTTTTCGTTTTTTTTTTCTTTTCTTTTATCAGACAAAACAAAACTTCTCATGTTCAGATCTTCGTCTTTTCTTCTCTACAGTAAAACAAAAGTCTGTTCATGGAGACTTGGGCTCAACAGACAATTTGAAGAAAACAACATGAATTTTCAGGATGTGGTTGTTACATTCATGTAGTTTTACAAAACACGACAATATCAAGTAATCCAAAGTATTCAGATTACATTACTCACTTTAAATAATTTTATGGATTATGTTACAAACTACATTTTGGGGGATGTAATCTGTAATCTGTAGGGGATTACATTTTAAAAGTAAAACAACACTGTCGATGACTGTGTTTAAAACTCAGTGGATTGTAGGATGAAATTAAAATAAGATTGATAACATATTAATTTTTAAAAGTTATATATTGATTGTTTCCCAGATCTGCCTTTGTGGTAAGATAAAAATGTACCTGCACATCTCCCTGTGGACCTTTGGAACTTATTAGAGGAACTCGGGCTGGGTATGTAACCCGCATTTGAGACTTTTATTGTTGCGGGTCAATTCCGTTTCACCCCGATCTCCCCCACTTCCTTTAAGTTGCGGGGTCACAGTGTCACTTCCTCCTCCGCTCCGCTGTGGCTGGGGTCTGGGCGCGTCGGCAAACAATTTCACTAAACTTGTTAACTACGAATAGTACAGCATCCACAATTAGGTGAGTGTTTTGCCACATTATTAGAATGCTGCCGATTTAATGATCACTTTCAACAATTTCGTTAAACTAGTTAATACTGTAAAAATCGCTAATGCCACGTCTCCGATCCTCATAGAGCCTCCATATCGATTGTGCGCACCTGGCCGTGTGTGGAGAGGAGATCGCAATGCGAAATTCGAAGGTATCTGACTTTTCTTTTGTCCTAATAAGAAAGCCGAAATTAAGGTAAAAGATTGCTTCATGTAGTCGCTAACTTTGTTTTTCGTGACCTTGATTAATTTGTGCAGTTTTAGCACAGTTGTTAGTAATTGTTAAAACTCCGGTGGAGTTCGTCAATTTGAATTGAGCGTAGCTACGCACTTTACTTTGAACCATATTGATATTGCTTCTGCTTGGGCATTGTTTGATAACTTTTTGATTTAAGTGCACTTAATTATGATCAACTCACTTAATTATGATAACTTATTGAATTTCCTTGATTTATTAACTAACTTAATTAATAATTTAATTTAATTTAATGATTTAAATGATAAACTTAATAACTTATTTAATTGATATTAATTTTCTTTCACTTATTGACATTGAATTCATTCATGAATTGAATATTAATTGTAATTGTTAAATGTTAATCCTTATGGACTTTTTGGGTCTTAGTCAATGACTGCATTTAATTTATTATTGTGTATTCTGATAACTGAATTAATTGATATTTTGAATGTATTGATTCCCTTGTTCTTGTATGTTTATGCATACATTTAATTTATTTTTGGTTATTTAGGACCTGTTAATGTTTCATTTAAATGATATTCATTTGTTTTTTGGCCTTTTTTAGGTCAGGTTTTTTCTATGGACTGATTGAACTCCAGCTTTGCAGAAACACTCGACTCAACCAGGAAATGAACGATGGCGAGTTTACCCAAAAAACCTGAACTTAATTTAACCTGAATCAAATAACTGGACTGTTTTTTTTAAATTTTGTTTGTTATTCTTGTGCTCTGTAAAAATTTATTTTCAATATACTTCACCCAACTTCATATTTATGACTTGTGTCTCTTCATTCACACTCGGGCTCCTCAAAGAACATTCTTCTGATGCTGCTTTTGTGGCCGTAGTCTGCCCCTAGCCCTAACACATTTGCGTTACAGGTATCATTAAGAAGTTGCCGATACAATACATATCTTGATACAGTACACTTTCGATTCGATATGATATATTTCATATCAATTCGATAAAATTAAATAAAAAAAAAAAAAAATGTCAATAAAAAATAAAGTCTAAATTGTGCCTGTGACACTAAAAGCATTTGTTAAAACACATCTTGAGCAAAGTTCAAATGAAACACAAACATTTCAATCATCAAAACAGTGAAAATGTCAAATTTGTCACTTAAACGAGTTTCCTTCCTCTAAACAAACAACAAAACTGTAGCTCTGTAACAAAATAATTCAGTAAAATATACCAAAAAATACTCTTGGCGATATATCGATACAGTTTCATCACAACAAATGATACGATATATCGATATTTCAATATTTTTGCACACCCCTAACAGGAACTATATGAGAAAACGCTGTTTTTGTTTACATCGGGCTTTAGTGGGGCCGCTCTTTTGTGTTGACAGTTGTGTTTGTTTGTCATGGGAAAAATCGTCTTATTTTGTAGTAGGTTTTGCATCTAATAGTTTTGACGTGACTTCATCATCTTACTCTAAGTCACTGAATGTTGAGGATCAAAAACGTTACTTTGAAAACTTAAAACTCGCCGATAACTGTTGACGATGTTGACTTGTTGATACGGATGCTTTTTGTCTACCAAAATGGCTACTGCCCCGGATGTGCCATTATTGTGTTTTGTCGTATTACTGGAACTATTATTCTTTTGGGTTCAACCACTATTTCAAATACCGTATTTTCCGGGCTATTAGACACGCTCTTAAGCCTCCAATCGCATCAAAAAACGACTGTGCGCCACAATCCAGAGCTCCCCATACACAAATCCACTCAGGTGTCCCAGCATGACTTCAGTAAACTACAAAGCCGCAGAACACACAAACACACGGAGCAGACAGCGACCGCACAGCGAAACACACCCACAGACACACTCATCACTCCACGCCGACGAGGAACGGAACGGAGGAACGAACCGAAAAAGCGAGGGCAATGTGCCACTTCTAGACACGACTGAACAACTGAGTCACTGCGAACACGCCGACAATCCGTTGGTCCCAGACAGCACCCTCCCTACACGCCACAACTGAACAAAGCCCAGAGTCACCGTGAACGCCACAAACAAACAAAACCACTCACCCATCCAACTGTGGGGTTTGCTTTAAAGTCCCACACGGTTTATTTGTGAAAAAAGTTCAAAAATAGACCATTTAATGACAGTGCGACTTATAATCCAGAGCGACTAACAGCCTAATCTCCTACAGTGCGTAATTTATCGTATTTCACTGTGACATTGGCCATAAAGTCCAAATGGTCTGCGTTAAAATCACACTTGTACTCGGTGGCCGACAGACGACTGCGCAAAGGAACTGACCAAAGTTATGTGTTTTTAGTTAGAGTTACTTCATTTGAACAGTTAAAAAAAGTGATTTTACTTGACACTTCCTTTGATTTGTTCTTTTGCAGAGCTACAAGATCCACCAACAGAATGACCTTCACATGTGACCAGTGTGGAAAGGTGTGCCCAACTGCTTCGAAACTGCAAAGACATTACAGAACTCACACAGGGGAAAGACCGTACAGGTGTGACCAGTGTGGGAAGGGGTTTACACAGTCTG